AATATGCTGCTGAGAATATAGCCCTGAAGAAGCGTATAGTATAGCTTTTATTTTGGAAAGAGCCATTTCTCTGTAATAAACTCTCTTTTCTTATATATATATATATATGACAACTGTATGTTACTCACGATGGACAGACAACTTGCTTTCCTTTTTTTCCTTTCTTTGTGGATTTTCCTTCTTTACTTGAGGCAAGTTGCCAACAGCAGAGCAGCAAAAGCAGCAAAATCACTGGCCTCAATCCAACAGCCATGGTGCCTGAAACAGAGTTTAATACTGGCCTCAGTACATACAACATATAGCTTAAAAAAAGAACAATATTGTTGCAAACTTAGCACAAGATTTCACCACATGTAGGAATCCACTAGAATTTATTTTTTTATGCATATCATTATAGATGTGATTACGTTTTGGAAATACATCACTTTGTTTGAGACTCTTTACAGTATTTATCTGTGTCTATGCTATCACATTCAGCTTAAAGCTTGAAAAATACTTCACTGAAATTTGTCCTAGAAATGTTCACTGAGTATAAAACAGAAAGGTATTTAGCTGACAAACTAGCCAGACAGAAATAATAATGAAAATAAATAATAATAATGATCTATTATTGCTGTGTCCCTTATACACCTAGGAGTGGCAGCACCATTTATACTCGCCTCATCTTAATTGGATATAGTTATTCAATTCATTAATCCATATATCTATATCTGTCAAGGACATTTTTTAAAAGCAGGATGCCACTTTCTACATGAAAATGGTATATGTAGGTTTTTGAGATGCCTCACTTGAAGTATTTTATCATTATATTTTATCAAGATATTTAATGTGACAAAAAATCATGTTAAGAAGAAATAAATTCATAGCTACATAAATCGCTTTTTACATTCTTTGGTTTTATACATGTAGCTTACAGTATATGTACTAAAAGTCTGTATATTCAGTAATGCAGCATTGGTACATATTGGTAGGATGGCCTTGATTGTCTATGAGTAACAATAATAATGACATGTTCAGTGACCTTTCTGACACAGTTTTAATGGTGCACAGTTTGCAGCCAATCAAAAAAGTTCAGTGTGATTGCCCTTCCTGATCTGTAGGTGTCACTGGCTCTGATGCTCCCCGAGCTGACCACATCAAAATACAACATCCTCTTCACTATAAACTGAAGAATTTTGTGGCACATGTTGAAAGACCTCAGCTTCCTCGGAAAATAGAGCCTGTCCATAGAATGTTTTTTTCTGGGATAGTAATGCTAATTCCAACATTTCAAGTTTATGAATGTTTTTGCTATTGCTATATAAACAATTAATATTTGGTTAAAGTTCAACTTTCATTCAAAGGTTTTCGGAAAATATTTTGCAACTTTTTGGAAAATTATTTAATTAATAATAGCCTTTATACATCCTCCTCATCCCATCTGAAGTTGATCACCATTTCTTTGTCTTTGGCCTTATTAAGATTCAGAAGATGATGAGTCAATAAAATGAACAAGATTTCTGTACTCCTTGCCCTTGCCCATCACTTTAAAAGAGCTATCCAAGCACAAGCAAAATTCCCAAATTAAACACTGTTGTTGTTTACTTTTGACCAGTTACTGGGATCGAAGATTCTCTTGCCCTTTCTACCAGCAATTTGAATGTTTGTCTTTAATAAAAAACATGAATACAATAAATATATAAATAATCACAAATCAAAAGGAAAGGTTCTTCTATTCAAAAGCATTATATGCTGTACATCAAAATTCTCCTCTTTTTTATAATGATAGACTGACAGATAATTGAGGAAATATTTTAAATTTCTCCAAACTCCTCTGATACATCGAACATGCAGACCCAAGCTTGTTTCACCATTGGCATTTATTATCAGTGGAGTGATTTTAATATCACCGGATGGCTTATATAACTGTTTTATTACACCAATCTTATCACTGCCAATAACAAGCTAAGTAACTGGATGCTGGCTTAATTTACCTAGTCATAGTGGCTTATAGGAGCGTGTGTGTTTGTGTGTCATATTGTTTTAAACATGCATCCATCCATCCATCCATCCATCCATCCATCCATCCATCCATCCATCCATTCATTCATTCATCCATTTTCTTTCAGGGCCTGGTCGCGGGGCGGTAGCCTAAATATAGAAGCCTAGACCTCCCTCTCCCCAGCCACCTCCTATAGCTTATCCGGGGAGAACACCAAGGCATTCCCAGATCAAGCGAGAGAATTAACCTCCTGGGTCGGCTTCCTCCTGGTGGGCCATGTCAGAAGACTTCACCCTCACTAAGATTATGCCAGTGAGGATGACTACTACCACTCAGCGTCCTCCTCAATTTTGCATTCTTCTTGTGTTGTAAGTGCTATTTTCTAGTTTTTTTGGCAACAACTAACCACCTATGACAGACAGACTCTTTTAGACATCCTACAACATTCATAATCTGGGACCACACTGGTGGCTTAACTTGGATACCTGAGCAGAAACAACGCTGGAGGAAAAGGGAGAAAAGAGCCAGAGTTCTGGTCAGGCTGAGAAACAGTCAATACGTTTCCCCTTTTTCCAAGATTCTTCTAGCTAACATCCAAATTTTGGGGAAAAAAATGGATGAACTGCTTTCCACAGCATATTATGGACTGCAATGTCTTTATTTGGTTGGATGCCTCAATCCCTGAATCGGCTATTCTTCCTTCTCCATTCATCGTCAGGACTGGACAAAGGAGTCGGGTAAGTGGAGGAGAGGTGGCGTGTCTATAATGACTAACAAGCAATGGCGTGTTTCATCAAGGTGCTCCCCTGATGTTGAACACCTCATGATCAAATGTGTTCTGTACCGCTGTTTATATTTTTTCCCCCTACGCTGACACTGTGTGGGTGCTGCCCAAGCTATATGATGTGAACCACTGGCAAGAAGTACTACACCCCAAAGCGACAAAGCCAGCCTGAAGAAAGTTCTGCCATGTAAGCTTTCCAACATGAATTAGAATAGAATTCAACTTTATTGTCATTGCACATGTCACAAGTACAAGGCAACGATATGCAGTTTGCATCCATCCAGAAAGTGCTTTAGCAATAGATATATTACAAAATATATATTAGCAATAAAATTGATATATAGGTATACTACAAAAATGGGTCTATTATGGGTATGTTACAATGTACATGGTATGAAGGTATGTTATGAATATGCTATACTGTACTGAGTGTACAAGCTATGTACAGGCTATGAACAGGATATAAATATGAAAACTATACAGAGATATGAAATATGTTATAAACAGTTGAAGAACTATAATTATTGTATTGTACAGAATGATTGCCTATAAAGCATTTACAGTAGTGCAGTTTAGATCAGTGAGATATGTGGCTGATTTCAACAGTGGTTCTACAGTGGCTATAACATCCTGGATCACCTTTAGACCCCTTTCACATGTGCCTATAAAGCCTACCTTTCAGCAAATCAGATTACTCCTCAGTCCTGCTGCTACCAGCCAATAGGCAGAGGCTGAAGCACGAGCAACCAGCGACAATGAAATGATTGGGTTCAATGCTGAACCAACTAATCACACATGGTCCTGCATCACTCCTTCCACACTATGTACTGGGAGGTTTTTCAAACTGCTGCCAACAATAACGTAAATGACCACACAAACTGCTTACTGGATACATCCACAAATGAATCAGTGTGGTTGACGT